AGTTTTGAAGTTGGAAACCTGAAGTTTTGGGTTAATAAAAAAAGTTTATAACTCATTGTTTAAAATGGTCTGTCACGAAACTTAATGTGACAAAACAAATTCTACGCGAGCGGAGCCGCGGATAACAACTAATACAGTTATACAGTAATAATTCAAAAAGATAGATACATTTCAATAAAAAAGAAGAGCAAATGCACATTAGTAAAATCTGGCTACCTGTCCTTAATGGTACACAAACAAGGTCAGGCAATCAAATAAAGAGAAATCATGCGATGCCTACTAATAATAATATAAAATAAGAGTCAATTGCCAGCATCATAGTTGATGTGTTCAGAACAACGGGAGCACCCACTTGGGCACTGCGACCGCATCGCCTTTGAGAATGTCAACCGCAGTAGTAGACGAAACGTCAGGCATAAAAACCTGTAGACCACAGTGAAAAACCTTGAAAATATCTTTGACACAGATAACAGTTGGGCTGACAAGTCAGTAGGCTAACATAGGAAAGGAAAAAAGGGTGAAATTTGATCTGCCTTCGAAGATGATACAATGATTATAGCAGTCATAACATTTTTCGTACGTATTTATAGTACGATTTGTTTTTAGCCTCAAAATAGGCCTCCCTCTTTTTCGGCGCTAAGTTTGTTTCCAGCGAGCCTTCTCTTGTGGTCTGAGTACAGGAAAAAGTCACTGGGGGTCAGATCTGGAGAAAACGGTGGATGCGAAATCAATTTGAAGCCCAATTTAGGCAATTTTGCCATCATTTCCATCGATTTGTGACACTGTGCATTGTCTTGGTGTAACAGCACTTTATTTTTCTCCACATGGGGCCGTTTTGCCGCGATTTCGACCTTCAAACGCTCCAATACAGCTATGCAATAGTCGCCGTTGATGGTTTTTCCCTTTTCAAGATAGTCAATGAATGGACCTTCTCCATTTTGTGCACTTTAGAACTTGGGTCTTAAATAATCTCAATGTATGACCATCAGTTCCCTCACACCCCCATACGACTGAGAGGAATGATATTTGAACTGGCTTACTCAATAACCATTGAAGGTTATCTGGATAAGAATTCTGTGAGGTCCAATGACTAATGAATCCCATTATTATATTATATCATGCGCATTCCAAAATACTGACACTACGGTTCACTACGTGCAGTCCAGTCAGGTGACGATCGTTTTGATTCTGGAACATCTCTAAACACTGTTGTTTTTTGTCGATTGTGAGCTCGCGCGACACTCACTCTGAACAGAACTTTCTCATAGTAAAATACTCATGCACGACATGTTTCTTTGATGTCTTCAGAGCCTCAGCTATCCATTTTCTTCAAAGTAACAACAGTTGCTTCACTCAAAATGTTCTATCCCAGAAACTAATAAGGGGCCGTTCAAGTATAATGTAAGCATATTCATTACAATCATTTACCCCCTATACCCTTGTCAGGAAAAGTTAGCAAAGCTCTTACCCCCCCCTTCCCATGCTTACGTGCGTTTTTCATTATTGAAACATAGACAATGTGTGGACAATTAACTAACTGCTGCTGACGTAATCACCATCTAGACCCCCCCCGCCTCCCATGTCATCAAAAATAAGCAAAGCAAAGACCCCCTGCCCCCTTTAGTGCCTACGTAATACTCGAACGGCCCCTAAGCAGACAGCTGTGTAATTTGTACGTGTCTTTTGAAGGTTAGGGCTAACTAAAAATCATATGGAATTGATACTAGTAGCGCCATCTGTGTGTTAGCCTACGAACTTTTAAGCCCACCTCCGGCCGTGAAAGTTTACGTTCTTACATTCTTACAATTATTTACAGTTATTGTTTGAATCGACTGCCTGCTGTGTAGTGTTCCAGTTCACACCGGAATCAAATGGTGAAGAATTCGTTTCTAAGGTTCCAGCGTATTATGATAAACTCAACTCGTGGCTGGGGCAAATTCTGCAACTAGATGCACCACAGGTTCCCATCGACATTTGCGAATTAGAAAATATCGGAGTTGTTTTGAGATTTTGCCCCTTTGAGAATGTTATGGGACAACAACCGAACGCAGAAGAAATCCAACTGTTTGTTCAGTGTCTTGAACAACAGTTAGTTATTCTGAGAGCGACGATACATCATAGAGATACTTTCATTCATTTGGTGGAGGCTTCTCCTGTACTGAAAATTGTTGAACTTCCAGAGTGGGCAGGTGAGACAAGCTATAAAATTTTAATTCCTTAAAATATAAATTAAACTATCGATATATTATCAAAATTCATGCTCGGTGAAGAAAGTGCATCGTGCACTTCTTCCAATTTATGGGCAGTTTCGTCGGCCTACTGAGGGAGCTATTCGGAAGCTTGTGACTGAATTTCGAACCCAGTTTACATTATTGGACATTGAACCACCAACACGCATACCGAAGAAAGTATTGCGGCTGTATCCGCCAGTGTTCGTGATGACCGTGAAATGTCGATTCGCCGCCGTTCGTAGCAATTGGGCCTCTGTTACACCACTACGTGGAAAATTTTGCGAAAGGATTTGGGTGTAAAACCTTATAAGATACAGCTGGTGCAAGAATTGAAGCCACACGACCTCCCACAATATCTAACATTTGGTGAATGGGCGCTGGCAAAGTTGGAGGAAGATCCACATTTTTATCAAAAAATTGTGTGCAGCGACGAGGCTCATTTCTGGTTGAATGGATACGTTAACAAGCAAAATTGCCGCATCTGGAGTGAAGACCAGCCACAAGCATTGCAAGAGCTACCGATGCATCCCGAAAAAGTCACTGGTGTGGATTATGGGTCGATGGCATCATCGGGCCGAACTCCTTCAAAGACGACAATGGCCGGAACGTTACTGTTAATGGCGAGCGCTACCGTGTAATGATTGACGACTTTTTGTTGCCCAAAATGGAAGAATTGGACATGCCTGACATGTGGTTTCAACAAGACGGTGTTACATGCCACACGGCACGCGAAACAATGGCCCAATTAAGAGCCGCCTTCAGTGAACAGTTTCGAATACAGTTATCTTTTTGGAGAAAACCGATGCATTGGGGCATTGAATTGAATCTGGTTACTTTCACCCTAATTCGAAATCACTTCTAGATCCTCACTAAGATATGCAACCTCCCGTTGCCGGTTAAGATGTGCCTCCATAGCCGATGTCCTGGAATCCAAATGGACTGACGAGACAAGTGTGCTGTCGTCAGCAAAGCAATATATTGGAACACCATCGTTGATGGAACATTTTTTCAGGAAACTGAAGAGCCATACACAAAAATGATCCGACAAGCCGTGCAATCAAAGTTTGACCAGCATATCGTCATGCCACACACGGTCAAAGGCCTTAGAAATATCGAGCACAACAGCTCTGGACTCTCCATGTTTCTCGATTGCGTTATTCCAAGTATGGGTGACATATGATAGAAGGTTGCCTATTGATCTTTGTTTACGAAAGCCATACTGATGATCGCTCAAGATGTTCAAGCCTTTCTAATATTTAAGGATATGGTGGTTTACGGCTTTCTCCATTTTTTGGAATCACTGATACAAAGCGACTGGTATATAGTTATTTGGAAGATTTTTCTTGCCCTTTTTAGGAATAGGCTGAACGCCAGCAATCTTCCAATGAGAAGGAAAAACCCCTTATAAAACAGGTTGAAAACTCTGCACTTCTGCACGGTCACTTCATCAGAACCAAACGACTTGTTGATATTAAGCTCGACAATATAGGGCTGACGAATGATTTACCACAACGAGCCAGTAATTAACTTCAGCCTCTAGAGAATGACAGATCCGCTCTCCACTCCAAGCCAGAAGCAGCCCAGGGAAAACCCTCTAGCAGAATCGACCGGACTCGTAGAGCTGACGAAACCGACTGAACTCGGGAAAATCGCAGAGTAAGCCTATTTTGTCGAACCGACTGTCCAAGCCACTATGCAAGCTAGCCGAAACGTAGATAACAATCATAGGGTCTGACACCGCTCCGGCACGAGGATCACGCCGGGGACAGTACGCGTCTTACAGTAGACGCGGCGCGTAATGGCTTACTGCGTTGCGTCAAGTTATTCTTATCGTGATAACTTTTAAATGATTCGTCCAAATTAATTAGTGTAAAAGACAAAGTTTATCTATATTAAATACTTATAACGACAATTGTATCAATTTTTATAAGAATTTGACAGATATTCTAAAATGTGTATTGTAAAAAAGGACCCAATTCAATTATATTTATGGTTCAGTATTTTGCATATAGTGGCTACCACATAAGAGGTAGATATATGCTATCGCGGACTTTCATTTAGAACTATTTAAAATAAACAATTTATGGTACGGTACATTATCTGGATGTAACTCCAACGGTATAGGCAGTGCACGCCAAGATAGCTCTCAGGGAGCAAGAATTTTTTCGACTTACTTAATACTTATCGTTATATTATGACCAAAATCACACAAAACCTTTGTAAATTGTAGCCTATATGTTATTCTGATGTATAAGCTGTATTTCTGTAAAGTTTCATCTGAATCCGTTCAGTTGTTTAGGCGTGAAAGATCCACAAACAGACATACATACATTCATCGATCCTCACAAACGTTCACATTTATATTAGTATAGATAGATAGATGTTTGTTGAAAAATTATTGTAGTGAAAGCGCGTACACATGACGTACTACTCTGGGCAACACATTATGAGAGAGACATTTTTAAGATCTACCGGAAAGGTAGGATTCAATAAATTTCAAGTATCTGCCCGTTATTCCAAGATTATTAAGTTTTAAAATTAATAGTTCATGACAAACTGAGTTGCCAAATAGAAATGAAAGATATTCAAATATGGAATAACTATTCCTAGAGAAATTTAGAAAACAGATTAATTCAAAATCTAGAACATATCACTCAGATCAAGAAATTAAAAAAAAATGAATAAAACAACATAAACTAGTCATGTTCCTACCCCATATATTTGCAAGCCGATTGAGGTGGCTGCCAACATTGCATTGAATACCTTGAAAGTTTAGGTTCTTCAAAAAATTTTGTCATTTTTTATGAGTTTACTTTAACCTGTCAATCTCAGTCAATCCTTATTCAATTTGATTGAAATAGGCGCCATTCGAATCTGCACTTTATTGCCAATGTAACACAAGTCGACTAATTCCGTCAGCATAAAAATTGGGTGCTGGGGATACGATGAAGCCGACGAAGGCCTGTTTTTGCCTGGTCCTCATTGTTGAAGGTTCTATCGATTATCGAAGTACTTGAAAAGATGGTAGTCGGTTTGCGAAAGGTCTGGGGAGTATGGTGTCTGAGGCAGAACTTAGACTCTCAATTTGTTTAATTTTCGTACAGTGATTTGTGAAACATGCTGACGGGCATTTCGTCATCTGCTGTGATGGTTCGGACCGGTTGCAGAAAGTTATAGTGAATAACATCAGCCGCTGACCACCATAAAGTAATCATGGTCTTTTTTTTTTTTGGTAGGTTTTCAATTTTTGGTGGGTTTTTGGTGTCAAAGCGATGTCCTGAACATCTTCTGTTGTCGTAGAGGATCCACTTGTCACCACAGGTGACGATCCGATCTAAAAAATGATCGTTTTGCTTTACCAGTACGTTTCAAACCATCAAAAACCGTATGGGAGCTGACGCCCGGTTCTTTCGGGATCCCACGCACCATTTGTGATGGGTCAATCTCCACCAGGGCCTCCAATTATCGTCCTGGATTGCTATAGGTCGACCACTTCGGGCTTGCGCGGCTTCTTCAACCTTCTTGGGGTGCCCTTCATGGAGGTGCTCAAGCAAGGGCGCTTTTCTGCAAGGGCAGCCGGTACCTTGCCTTTATTCAAGGCGGAGCTCTTGGCACCCGCCGCAGGAAGTGCCTTTGCTGTTGGAGATGGTATGGGGGAGGAGGAGGGTGCACTTATAGTTGCTGCCCCTTTTGGCCTCGGCGCCGCAAATGCGCTTGCGCTTTGGCTTTTTTATTATATCACGAGGTATCTGTTCATCCCCAGCCACCGCTATAGATTGAGATAAGCATTGATGTCCAGCCTCGGGATTGGTTTTTGTTTTTACTGTGTGTTTTTCTATTTGTTTCATTCATGTGTGTTCTCAAGAGTAGCAGGGGAAGAGTTGGTCACTCTGACAGAGCCCCGCATTACCAGAGGAAGGCTGATTACAATGAAGTTTCGCCCGGTTCCCCAAAGGGATCGTTCGTAACCATATATCACCCTGCGACCATTCAGCTGTCGGCACAATTCCATACACCTTGGGTAGGCTGCTCCACGGTGGCATGTTTCGCAAAGGATTTTGGGGAGTCTTAGTTCCCCTCAGCTTACTTATTTCTGCCACTGACCAGGAGTCCAGCGACCTCGTCCGTAAGACCACATTGGCTTCCCGGACAGGGACTCCAGTCCCCTGACCGGTCCCCTATCCGCCACCTGGGGACGCGCCCGATAGGAAGCACAACCCATGAATTGGAAAGGTCGTATTGAACGATCAACAAACATTGTCACGCTTCGAGGTCTGTACTTCTTTGCTTTGCGCAACCAAAACGATTCTTTTTTACATCAAATCTTTATGTGTGATGAGATGGTATCCAGCGGTGGCTGGATCTTGAAGCGTTTTTCACCATCTTTCAATTTACCGAGTAATATACAGGGGGTTTCATTTGAAAAAATGAACTTTTGACTACTTTTATNAGCATAAACTGAGAGTTACTTCTAAATTACACCATTATATACTATAATCTAGTACCTATTCGTCTACCTAAATAATACATCTACCTGAAAAAGTCTACCTGAAAAAGTCAGGTATCAATACATTTTTCGAAAGTCTACCTATGAATATACCTAACTATTTTTACCTGCCAATGAACAGATTCAATAATGGCGAATTATTCAATTCAGTTTGATCACTCATTAGATGTTGAGAGTTTTTGAATTTGTTTATTTCCATACTCTCCAACAGGTTAAGTTTCAAACCTTTCTTCTGGAAATGGAGGGGTTTGTATTCATGGTTGAACTGATGTCCCTCTGAGATTGAATGACTGGCATATGTGGAATTTATTGTTTCATTTTGAAAACTATATTTGTGTTCCTTTATGCGGGTTTTGAACGTTCTTCCAGTTTGACCTATATGAAACTTCGGACATGACCCATACGATGATTTATACACTCCTGCTTTTTTCGAAACTGAACTTTTATCTTTGTTATTTTTAATGTGCATGCCTAAGTTGTTGTTGGTTTTGAAAGCGGTATTTACACCTTTGCTGTGCAGAAAATCTGGAATATTTATTGTGGGTTGGCCTAAGTAGGTTGAGGTTCTATAACTTTTATCCTCTTCTGTTCGAATTGGGTAAACTTTTCATAAGCTATTGTATAGCGAAACACGTGTCGCGGTTTTTGTAAAACCCTTAGAGTGAGAAATCATACAATAAACTGTATTGATTAGTTTTCTTTTAAGGTAGTTATTATCACAGTTTGAATAACTGAAATGTACTTATGTATACTATAATTCCATAATAGTAGGCACTAAATTCTCAGAAATGACTAGGTTTCTCCATATTGTGCTTGAACGTTCAGTTATTACGAAATGAGTTAGATGAGCTGTTTATTCTTATCATCAAAATGTCCCCGAAATTGTTTTGCTTACATAACACTGGCTCGAAGAGCAGGAACCTATTTTAATTCCCGAATATACAGTTGTTGGCAGGTATAATCGAAGAGATGATGGAAGTTCTGTAGCTTGTTCTGCGGAGCATCATAAATATTTTTACAATTTTCAGAGGGGTTCACTATAAATGTTTAATAATAAAATACTTTGACATTGAAATTTTTTTATCTGTTATTCCATGTATTGTACATACACGGAATATCTGCGATTTTATTACTATTCGATTTTTTTTAGGAATGGGGGGAGTAAGATATTGTCCAGAAGGGTGGGAGCAGCTTTTAACGGATCAAGCTAAAGAAGAGTTGAATAATTTGAATATGGCACTTGTTGATTCGCTCAGATCAACAGATTCTGCTTTTTCACTGGGTGAGGATGCTGATGGTTTGATGTGTGTGAGATTTGGAATGCTGACTCCGCAGTCGGACGTCGAAGAGCTTCTTAACCTTGTAGTGCGAGTCGGGCAGTCTGTCGAAGAGAATTCCCGGGTTCTTGATTCGATGAGCGAAATTGTTAAGAGAGGTGAGTCTCTGTTAATATCAACTTTCTCTTCTTTTCTTTGTAGCAGGGGAGCCCACGGTGCAAAATGGGGATTTACTCGAGCGTCATTGAGACATATTAGGTTGCAAAGCTTAGATGATAAGAAGAAAAAAATGTTATTTAATATATATCTTTTCATCGGTGAGGGAAACGGCTATAGATTTTCAAATATTTAAAAAAATACTGTTACATGGGCATACTCGAGCGCGTCAGATATTGATAGCATCATTTTTAATAATGTTGGTATGTTAATCTGATCATTTGCATGATGTGGATGGTTGTACGTAAGTGTTGAAAGTGAAAAGAAAAAAAAATTAATCCATCGCGTCAGATTTTTTAAGGGGGTGTAAAGTGCAACAAAAAAAGTCCTCATTCAATAATCGGACGATTTCGATCTGACG